TCCTGCTGATTTCAATTCCTAAAACATAGGTTGCTTCACCAAGATCTGTCATCTCAAAATGTTTGGACAAGAATTCTTTGCAGTTATGCAACATTGACAAATCTGTGCATGCCAATAAAATATCATCCACATATAGTACTAGTATGATGAAATTCCTCCCACTCACCTTCATGTAAATACATTCATCCAATGCATTTCTGTAAAACCATACTGTTTAACAACTTCATCAAACTTAATGTACCATTGTCTTGAGGCTTGCTTAAGACCATAAATAGATTTGCACAGTTTGCATACAAGATTTTCTCCCTTCTCTTGAATGAAACCCTCTGGTTGTTTCATATATATATCCTCCTTTAGATTTCCATTCAAGAATGCTGTCTTTACATCCATTTGATGCAAATGCAAATCAAAATGAGCCACTAGTGCCATTATCACTCTAAACGAGTCTTTGGTTGAGACTGGTGAGTATGTTTCATTATAGTCTATCCCTTCTTGCTGTGTGTATCCCTTGGCAACTAGTCTTGCCTTATATCTGTCAATTTTCCCTTTAGAGTTCCTCTTAGTCTTGAAAACCCACTTGCAGCCTATAGGTTTACAACCTTGTGGCTGATTAACTAGTTTCCATACACCATTCTTCTCCATAGAACTCAGTTCAGATTTCATAGCTCCCCACCAATTTTCACTCTTCTCACTGGACATAGCTTGTTTATAGTTCATAGGATCTTCAATTGAATTCACATCATGCTCAGATTCTTGCAAATAGACATAGTAATCATCCGGCAATGCTCTTTTCTTTGGTCTTTGAGATTTTCTTAATTCTATGTCCATCTGATTATTGGTTTGTTCTGCAGGCAGATTCATATTTGTGTTTTCTGGTGGCAAATCTTGCATTTCTTGATTTTCCTGCTCAAGTATCATGTGATCTTCAACAAAACTATCTTCTTGTACAGATGGCATGCCACTCAACTCAAAACTGGGCAGTGTAAGAATTCTGCTATCTGTATTAGAACTTACTGTTTCTGCATTTTCTGTCACTACTTCATCAAAAACAAAATTTTCTTCTTCTGTTACCTCAGTTTCAGACTCAATAAACACAGCTCTTTGTGTTTCTACGAATCTAGTTGTGTTTTGAGGGCAATAGAACCTGTAGCCTTTAGTCCTTTCTGGATAGCCAACAAAATAACCACTGGTTGTTCTTGAATCCAACTTTTTCTCCATAGGATTGTACAGTTTTGCTTCTGCCTTACACCCCCAAACTCTCAAGTGATTCAAACTTGGTTTTCTTTTCACCCACACTTCATAAGGGATAGCATTCACACTTTTAGTAGGTACCCTATTTAATATGTAGTTTGCAGTCTTTAAAGCCTCTCCCCAAAGAAATATCGGCAACTTGGAACAACACATCATACTTCTCATCATATCCTTTAGAGTTCTGTTTCTCCTTTCTGCAATTCCATTCTGTTGAGGAGTGCCTGGATTAGTATACTGTGCAATAATTCCCTCTTGTTGTAGGAACTTAGCAAAAGAACCAGGATTTCTCCTAGTTTCATCAAACCTTCCATAATACTCCCCTCCTCTGTCAGATCTAACTACTTTGATCTTTAGGTCCAACTGTTTTTCTACCTCAGCTTTATAGATTTTAAACATGTCCAATGCACTGGATTGTTCTTTAATAAGAAAAACATGTCCATATCTAGAGTAGTCATCTGTAAAGGTTATAAAATAGTTGAACCCTTCATGAGTTGGAGTTGGAAAAGGCCCACAAATGTCTGTGTGTATTAGTTCCAGCAACCCTTTGCTCCCTATTGCTCCTTTTTTCGAATGGTCGTGTCCTCACTGATTATATTGGTTTGTTTCCTTTCTTTCTCAAGAGTATTTTCCTCTTTACAAAAAATTATGTTAGTTTATGGGTGTAAATGTCATTTTATCCTACATTAACTGTAGTTAAGTTCATGGACCAAAATGCGACAATGAGCATAATTAGGAGGCATAGTTCAATTTTGGTTTTTATAGTATGCTATGTGAAATATTTGACATGAATTTATTCGTCATATATTATTTAGATGTAGAAAATTTAAATATAATTGTGTTAGTAGTACTAGGTTGGGATCGTATTGGCATAATTATTATTTTTATTTATAGGGGAGCATGAATTTTAATTTGCTTGAATTATTGTTTAACCAAATCTTTTTGATACAAATGGAAATCTACTCTAAATTAATTGAATTTACGGAAAGGGGATTCAAATTTAGATACAAGGGACCGGACTCACTGCTCTAGCCAACTGGCTCAACCCAAATCTGCATTGTTTAACAAAACTTTAAGAACAAAAAAGAACAAATTTTATTTTATTTGTTCCTCCTTGACGTGTTGCAAAATTGCAGCTTCCTTTTTGGGCATAAGATCTCCGGTGCCTTACGCATTGAGAAAATTCGTGAAGAAATCCAAACTAAAGTCTGGGATGAACTTTGCATTTGGAGGCACAGGTGTTTTCGATACATTGGTCAGTGGACCGAACTTGACCACCCAAATCGACTTTTTCGAACAATTGCTTCAACAAAAAGTATATGCCAAAAATGACGTCGTTAAATCGTCCATTGCTCTCGTATCAGTTGCGGGGAACGATTACGCTGCTCATTTTGGTAGACCAGGCAACGACACAAAGGTAAGTGGTTAATCTAATGGTTTTAGTGTCGCAAGTGCGTTTTGGTACAATGTTCTGATATTTAAATTTTTTGTTGCAATATAATTCCTCAATTCTATTAGCTTGTTCTTGTTTTGTAGTTGTTTATATTACTCTCTTGCATTGGTGTATTAACATTTCTTCTAAGTAACATCTAATATTAAAAGTTATTAACGTAATGGAATTTTTCTTCTAAAAAAATGATAGAAATGTCACTTGAGCTTATACACCAATTTCAATAATAATTTAGTGATAGCAGACAAATCATGGATTTTGAAAAATCAAAATGACATTTCTTATTTTTTTTTTTTACAAGCGATAATCTACTCTAAATTAATATGTTGTTATTGTATTGTAATTATCATATGTCAGTAATCAATTATAACAAGATGTCATTGTTGAACAATAACATGATGCTTGTTTTTCTCTAGGAGTTATGTTTGTTTGTTTGTTTGTTTTGTTTTGTTTTTTTTTTTTTAACATATATTTAAATTCAAGATTCCATCATTTTCTAGGGAACTTTAATCAAACACAAGATTATTAAAGGGGTTTAGATGTTTCCGAACTATGTGGGGTTCTTGGCATGTCCATAAATACATGCATGATATATTGAATTTTGAAGAGACTTTATACCAACTTGATCGCACTCGTTGTATCTTCCAAATGACAGGATTTGGCAATGTT